AGAAAATTATATTTGAACTTGTTTGTTTTTTGGAATATCATGCAAATCTACACGAGAGTTATCTGTGCTAGTCGTCCCTAATTTTGATGAGACCACTAATCAACACCATCCACCGCAAACTCTTGGGCTAGTAGTCGTCCCTAATTTTGAGGTGACCACTAGTCAACACCACCCACCGCAAACGCTTGGGCTACTAGTCGTCCCTAATTTTGAGGTGACCACTAGTCAACACCACCTACTGCAAACACTTGGGCTACTCTTCTCAAGCGAATAGAGGAATTTGATCATCACTCTTACAATACGCCCAGGGCTCCAAAGTGTGGGACACTTTCCTCTCCCCTTTTTGGCAGTAAAGGGTCGCAAACCACAGAACCTCACATCTACTCGGTTTTTATTCTCGCATATTTTTCTATTATTACAATGATTGTATTGACGTACGCATTTGTATTTAATATACAAATCACAGATGTCATTTATTCACCTATAAAATTGATTGTTATTTTTTAATTACTGCTTTTTCTGTGATATAACGTAAAGAATATTTATTAGGGATGACTTTTAACATAATGCTGTAGTCACTGTTTTTTTTTTTTAATGTAGATATTACTCGAAATTTATATTCATTTAGAAGGAAATTTAATGTCACATGACAGAACTTTTTTCAAAGTTTTAGATTTTAGTACTGTTTGAGTAGTAGAAAATGCGATAGTAGATGGATTATTGAGTTTGTCAGTTAACTTAGTGAAGTCGGTGAATTTTTGATAGAATGTTTGTTAGCCAGTGAATAAGTCTCTATCTTACAAGTGTAAAAAAAATAAATAAAAAAATCAAGGTAAGAAGGTAGGAATGGGCGGGATAACATTACAACACTTAATGTTTTTTGACACGGTGCAACCTCAAAGTGGGCGTGGCCATCATTCCGCCCACTCCTACGTCGTTTGTTTTTTGTAACTTGGTAATTGTTCAAAGTAAATGAATAGTGTGTATAGCTAAATCTCTCTGTTGCAAACTTTGTTTCAGCCACCAAGTACAGATGTATGTATGTAATCAACTTACGTGACTTTAACGAAATGCATAACATCATAAGGGGAGAGGGGGGGGGAAAGTGAGACAAGAAGCCCCAATAGCCATATATTGCTTATGAAAGACATTATAGCAATCTAACTGGTAAGGGGAGAGACAAAGAATAGTATCAAAACCGCAAATTTTTGAAATTTTTGAAATCTGTTGACTATTTAGAAAAACTTAAAATTTAGCATATTTTATTTATTGTGGTACAATCAAAATCAATCAAATGGTGTAATTTAATACATGGGCCAGATATTCATGTGATTACGAACTTTGACATAAGATGGCGCTACGTAGACTTATTATTTTATTAGCATAAAAAATACTTATAGTATAAATCTGTGTATTATGTAATGACACTGGTGATTTACATCTTTGATCATCCATGCCTAAAACTCCAAGACAGTGCACATGTTAAATAAAATAAGATGACATGTTTTCGATACTTTTCTTTGAAACGTTTGCTTGAGGTTTTGGAAATGTTATGGTGGCTCCAAACTATTTATATTTGTAACTTTCTATGAAAGTTTAGCAAAAAAAGAGTATCCTAACTTTGAAGCCAGCTTACAGTCACTTGTTGTCAAGGTTTGAACTTTAGTGTAAGCATTTGAAACCAATGGCAGGGGTCATGTTATATATATATATATATAATGTTTGTTAGCGTTATGTTACAAAACTGGACAGATAATTAATTAACAGTTAACTATTGTCAAAAATGGAAAACATAAATAAATTAGTATCAAGCATAGTTGGTATTCTAACTTTTTCATGCTTTCCAAAATGTGAAACTGATACATATAGACATGAATATCATTAATTGATATCATAACTTTACGCGAATTAACAACTATTACTAGCAACAACTAACCTTTTTTCTGTGCGACAGTACTTCGCAAAATCGGTGATGAAGCTGTAGTAGTTGATGGTAATTTGATAAGTTTAGAAGGTTGGTTAGTTAGCTTAATGGAAACTGGAAATGATACAATTATATAGTTTCAACTTTAATACAATACTGGTAAAATCTTCACTTTAAAAGAGGCTATTGAAAAATTAATTCTGAAACTGTTTTACTGTTAACTACCAATGACAAATCAAGCAGTCTCAAATAAAGTATCCACGTTTTAACTGAGATAGATCGAACACAAGTTCAACTTTTTAAACATTTTTATAGTAAATTATCATAAATATGTCACTATAAATCCTGCAAAAAATCCACCGTACCAAAGTACTATCTATGTGTTGTTTTTAAGGGGAGAAGAGATGTGTGGAACTAAAGTATGAGCTGACATTTCTTATATCTACAAAGTACTACCTAGGTGTTGTTTTTAAGGGGAGAAGAGATGTGTAGAAAAACAACACCTAGATAGTACTTTGTAGATGTAAGAAATGTCAGCTCATACTTTAGTTCCACACATCTCTTCTCCTCTTAAAAACAACACCTAGATAGTACTTTGTAGATGTAAGAAATGTCAGCTCATACTTTAGTTGCTACACTGCAGAACTACTGTTAAGATGAATGGCGGTTTTCAGGTAGACCATAACCGATTATGGCGAAGCTCCAAAACCATTTTAATATGACGCACTCAGCTTTCTGCACATTTTGCCATGTGAGCTTTGAAGTAATTGTAAAAAGATTATATGTATATATATGTGTGTGTGTGTATGTATATGTAAGAAATGTCAGCTCATACTTTAGTTCCACACATCTCTTCTCCCCTTTTAGGAGTGGTGTGTTTTAGACACGTAAACTTTACGATGGAACCATTTACAGTGGTATTATTTTATACCATACTGTTTTATACCATATTGTTTTATACTCTTTCAAATCATTGTTACATTTTAAATGGGAATACATTAAATACTGTGGTTGAAGAAAAACATCTTGTTGTTGTCATCGAAAAATCACTTAAGTTATCTAAGCTGTATATTGTAGCTAGCAATAGGGTAATAGGATTTTGAGTAGCATCTATAGAAACATTGAATACAAGACAAGGGCTAGTATTGTTTCACTGTATAGATCACTTGTAAGAGTACTGTGTACAGTTTTGGACTCCCTTCCTCAAGAAGGACATTGAACTGTTGGAGAAGGTTCAGAGAAGAGCCACTAGGATGATATTTGGGATGGTGGGATTGTCCTATGAAGAGAGACTAAAATCTCTAAACTTGTTTTCCCTGAAGAGGAGAAGGGTCAGAGGGGATTTGATTGAGGTGTTTAAGGTTATTAAGGATATTGATAATATAGATCCATCAAACTTTTTTTGTGTTTAGCAGTGAAAACATTAGGACACGGGATCATAAATTCAAATTTTTGCAGCGTAGGAGTTGTCTGCAATTTATACAGTATTAATTTAAAAAAAAGTTGGGTGGCTTTTGGAATGAGCTGCCCTCAAGAGCAGTGGAGGAAGAAAATTGAACTGAGTTCAAGAAAAGATTGGATGAATACATGAGCAGTAAGGGGTGATCATAGTTGGGAGCTGGAAGGGACATCCTTGATGGGCTAATAAGCTCCTTTTTGTCCCTTTAAATTTTATAAAACATTTTATGAATTTATAAAAGGGTGCTACGAAACAGTCGTCCTTGTACACCAGATGGATTACGCAAAGCTAGCAGTGTGAAAACCTACATGCATCACCTTACATTTTGGATAGTTAAACATCACATTAGTAGTGAGTGGCTGAAGTATAGGTACAAGGAATTTAGCAAGTTTGTAACCAGGTGTGCCTATAGTGGAAAGAATGGGTCGGAGGGGGGGGGGCTGTTTTATGAATTTTGGGAAGGCCGTATAACATACCAGGACGGGAGCCAGTGGGATAAAGCGAAAATGTTGCTTCTTCGCTTTATCCCACTAACTCCCGTCCTGGTATGTTATACGGCCTTCCCAAAACAGGTTCCTCCCTCCGACCCATTCTTTCCACTATAGGCACACCTGGTTACAATCTACATTATGGTTACCTATATGAGTAACATAATAGAATCTCAAAAACAATTTGTTGCTGTCATAACACAATCTACAAAATGGTTACCTATATGAGCAACATAATAGAATCTAGGTAACATTTTGTTACTGTCATAACACAATCTGCATAAGGGTTACCTATATGAGCAACATAATAGAATCTCAAAAACAATTTGTTGCTGTCATAACACAATCTACATAATGGTTACCTATATTAGCAACATAATAGAATCTAGCTAACAATTTGTTACTGTCATAACACAATCTGCATAAGGGTTACCTATATTAGCAACATAAGAGAATCTAGGTAACATTTTGTTACTGTCATTACAATTCCTCCCCCCCCCCCAAAAAAGAACAACAAACAAACAACATTCTGAAATCTTCTCCCAGGTCAGAGTTCTGTTAATGTGCTCGTTCACTTTCATACGTAAACTTAAATACGAGTTTATATTGTGTTATCTGAAGTGTATCTGTTACATACCAAAGGTAAAATTTTACACATGACGTAATCGAAATAACTTATATTATAAAGAGGTAAATGAACTGGTGTGTACACGTTACTGTAGCCCTCCAGTAGCACAGCAGTATGTCTGCGGACTTACAACGATAGAATCCGGGTTTCGATACCCGTGGTGGACAGAGCACAGATAACCCATTGCATAGCTTTGTGCTTAATTACAAACAAACAAACACATTACTGTATTATTATTTTTTTTTTGATCTAAAGCTGTTATAATATTATCATTTCGAATACAAGTAAATTTTATGAAGTTAATAATTAAGTTCGAAAAATCAAGTATAACACTGACGAAAACCATGTACTCGTAAGTACTGAAATTCATGTACATATATTTAAGTTATCTATATATGAAATAGTTTCTCACGATAAGGTTTTCCATCCGGGTACGTTTCTTTTCTTATCAGCATCGTAATATAAATGTTCAACGATCAGCCACATTATCAAAATTGCAAAACACTTCGACCCAAATATTTACAACGCCAACATTATGTGATGGAGTAACAGAACAGAATATAATACAAGCTTAATTATAAGACATTAAGTTTGTTCTGTTTAAAAAAAAATCTACTCTTACAGCGAAGGCTTTTTTACGGTAAGTAAAATATTTACTTGGCGCTTTTAATATTTCCAATTATTCAAGATGGTGGATAGCTCATGTTTAGTTCCGCCATGTTTGGGCGGTAACCTGGAAAGCTGACTAACTGGAATGAGTAATTATTATAGTTCTAGTAACTGGAAAGGCAAATAAGTTTATTAATTCAACATCTATTTAGCATATTCTATGAACATTAATTATTATTATTATTTGTAACTGAAGGAACTGTAATTACTGTATTTTATTTTAAAACACTTCATGGAATTGTATTATTATCCTTAGTGCCCCCCAGTGGCACAGCGGTATGTCTGCGGACTAACAACGCTAGAATCCGGGTTTCGATACCCGTGGTGGGCAGAGCACAGATAGCCTATTGTGTAGCTTTGTGCTTAATTACAAACAAACCCAGTGGCACAGCGGTATGTCTGCGGACTAACAACGCTAGAATCCGGGTTTCGATACCCGTGGTGGGCAGAGCACAGATAGCCCATTGTGTAGCTTTGTGCTAAATTACAAACAGAGAAACGAACAAATAATCCTCAGCACATTCTCATAAGATCTCAGTAATTCCTTCCTAGAAAGCTATAGATAATGTCAACAAACATGGGGAACTACAGTCAATGTCACTATTTAACTTAGCCTAAAAATTATAACAGTTATTTCGTTTAATCGAATGACGAAACTATAAATATTGTGTCTTTCACTGCACAAAGTTCATGTCACACGATTCCCACAATATTAATTTCTCCACATACAAGAAGAGAAATTCATTAACAAACGAATACAGAATGTTAATAAGTCAAACAAGCAACACGTATAGTAATTTCTTCATTATTTCATTAGCAGATTTTCGTTTAATCTGTTTGTAGTGTTAGGGCCTGATAAGGCTTGGTGGTTAGTTCGATCGACTCGCAATCGGCGGGGCGTGGGTTCGAAGCCCTGTTACCGAACCTGCTCGCCCTTTTCAGACGTTCTAATGTGACGGTCAGTTCCACTATTCATTGGTAAAATAGTAGCCCCAAGAGTTAGCGGTGGGTGATGTTGAATAGTTGCCCCCTCTCTCTCTAGTCTCTCACTACAAAATTAGGGACGGCTAGCGAAGATATCCCTGTGTAGCTTTGTTAAGTTAATATTTAATGAATCCAGAATCCGTTGTTTTGAAAACATTACTCTTGAATTGTTCTTGTAATTTGTAAAGAAAACTTTAAAAGTTTTTTTTTTTTTTTTTTAGTTTTGTTTGTAAGTTAAGCACAAAGCTACACAAAGGGCTATCTGTACTCTGCCCACTCGGTTTATAGCGTTATAAGTCCGCAGACATGCCGCTGTGCCACTGGAGGGCACAATACGTTTTAAAATTAAGGCCAGACCTTGCTGTATAATATAGAGAACTTAAAAGAACGATGAAATTCCATGATCTAATCTGTTCTACAACAGACATTTGTTACGTTCCTACACATATAGATTGTCGAAAAGTTTTAACAAATATAATAATTGCTTGAAATTTAATTTCACACCTTCATTTTTTTTCCTCATGACACAGAAAATACTTTAATCTTAAGTACAATTCTTCATCAAAAGTAGGAAATAGATATTCGATATTTTCAGTTTGCGAGTAATCTTACTCAACACCCGGCTTGAACGGCCAGGTCAGACACTCCTTAAGTTCATGTACAATGATCTCTAACTAGGACTGTTATCGCTTATACGGTTAAAAGAATTGGGGGATTAACTTTCAGAGTATAACTCCTCCACAGATAAACGTTGGGAGCGTGTTCACACGCATATCGCAAGTTGAGTCCTGGACCTTTCAAACTAAGCCCAAAATACTAGCCGTTAGCCCAGCCTTATATATGAACGACAATAATCTTTGTTAGAAATTGTTACTTTAAAGAAATTCACACCCACAACGTAGACTAGAAAAATGTAAACCATGATGTTTATTCAAAACCCACATGTAAAACTAGGTAGATTTTCAAACCAAATTCAAATGGTTGCTCTAAAACAAAAAAATCTCTACAGAAATCACTCCACAGAATGTGGAACAAATATACTGGGCAACGTCCCACAACCGTGAGGAAGGAAAGTGACTGATTTCAGCGTAAGTGGGACATCCTAACAAGACTTACTGTACCGTAGTTCTACATAACGGACGTAAGTGGGACATCCTAACAAGACTTACTGTACCGTAGTTCTGCATAACGGACGTAAGTGGGACATCCTAACAAGACTTACTGTACCGTAGTTCTGCATAACGGACGTAAGTGGGACATCCTAACAAGACTTACTGTACCGTAGTTCTGCATAACGGACGTAAGTGGGACATCCTAACAAGACTTGCTCTACCGTAGTTCTACATAACGGACGTAAGTGGAACATCCTAACAAGACTTGCTGTACCGTAGTTCTACATAACGGACGTAAGTGGAACATCCTAACAAGACTTGCTGTACCGTAGTTCTACATAACGGATGTAAGTGGAACATCCTAACAAGACTTGCTATACCGTAGTATATGCAAGTCTCGATAGTGTTCCACTTACATCCGTTATTCGGAATTGTAATCCAATAAGTCTTGTTAGGATGTCCCACTCCACGAGTTAAGAATTACAACATAAATACGTCTTACTAGACTATCCTACTAACATCCTTTATGCAGCCCCCCCCCCAGTAGAACAGCGGTATGTATGCGGACTTACAACGCTAGAATCCGGGTTTAGATACCCGTGGTGGGCAGAGCACAGATAGCCCATTGTGTAGCTTTGTGCTTCATTACAAACAAACAAATAAACCTTTATGTAGGACTAAAATTTCATACCTAAGAATTTGAAAAACAAAAACAATTTTATTATAATATCAAAAATTACACTTCCTATCTAATGAGAAAAAAACATTTATTCACGCTTGCGTGTCTGGCGCTTAGAATATATGTAATTATATATTATCCATACAGATCTATAAGTATTAGATTTGTGTCTTTTAACAAACCTTCAAATTCCTGAAACTTGCAGATGACCGAAACGGATAAGAAAAACATTTCCTCGAATGGCCATAACAGAATAGAAGAAGAGAAGCAAAGAACTGATCCTCAAGAATTAGAACTTTTTGAAGCGCAAACGGAAACAGAATCACCCAGGGAACACTACAGGAGAAAGAAACCAAACTCTGAGGAGAATATTTTCCAAAATGTACAGAATGTTGATCTTCTCGATAACACACAAAGCGGAAAAGATATTGTCCAGAGCCACCAAGAAACAAATAATCAGCTCACACAAACAAGCTACCATAAGCTTACTGAGACGTTCAATAAAGATTTCCATGAAGAAACTGAAAGTCTTCGTTCGTTAATAACCCAGAACAACCAAAGAACTGCGAATAATATTTCTCAGAATTTCTATCACTATACCACTAGTGCTTCTAACGTTAATTCAAATTCTTACTTTAATTCTGAGAATTTTGGAGATGATATTAGTCCCACTGTTTCCCCCACTTTTAGTACATTAAATTTGAATTCAAATAATATTAATGTGCAAGAACTTCCCGACCATAACTCAAGAACCCAAGATAATCCGATGAGGCAGTTTGAGTACTCAAACCATCAACCAGATGACAACATATACCAACTATCTGTTGGTCATCTTACACCTAATGGAACTATCTTGAGCCTTTTAGACCACTCTCAAGCACTCGGTACTGGTTCATCGAATCTCATGTTGTTAAACAACTATTTGGCAGGCCCATCCACACGGGAATCCTACCAATCGTTTAGAGGAACACCTGTATTGGATGTTACTGAATCCTACCAAACCTTTAGAGGAACGCCTGTTTTGGATGTTAATGAGATTTCGTTGACATCATTGGGATCAGCAGAATTCTCAGCTCTAGCGAATAATCAAACCCCGTTTCCTTCGTCACAGCTTGTTAGTCAGCCCATAAGTATTGATGGTGGGACTAGATTCTACCAACAAGAAGAGTTATTTCAAAGTCCACCCAACACTATGCCACAGTTTCAAGTGGATTCCGGCAACCCAAGTAAGATTTGGTTCAATTTTTGTTCGTTTTACGTGTGTGTTCATGAAATTTACGAATTGATTGAAAAATACCAAAGTGTATCAGAGTAACTATTTGTTATAAGAATCTCTAAAACACGTGTTATTCTCTATACATATATACATATGTCAGCTTGGTGTGTTTTAAAAACAAACCGGTATTATCGTTTACCATACTCAAGATATCATAGGTCACGAACAGTTCCCAAGCTACAAAGCAGTTGCCTATAACCTTATATGGTATATTAAAGAGAGTGAACAGTGGTGTTCGAGCTGATGTAATGAGTTATAAAGAGTGAAAATTATTAATTCCAACCTAGAAAATTTATAAATAAAGCCTAATTAGAGAATTTCATTGCTAATTTTTGTACTGATTTCATACCATCGTCTTAGAAATATGCTACCATTTAATAACTGAACTACATTTCATAAAGTTAGAAAATTATAACACATTACTGAAAGAACATTAACAAATTTAAACTTACTGGAAATAATATGAACTTGGAGGACTATAGGAAATCCAGAGAGCTGGTTAAAAAGGAAGTTAAAAGGGCAAAAACTGTATATGAAAGAAGGTTGACTGAGAGAGTTAAGTCAAACAATAAGGAATTCTTTAATTATATGGTGGGTAAGCAAACATATTAGGATGGGGGATTGGGCCTCTTAAAAATGATAGTGGGGAGCTGATCTCTAAAGATTATGAGATGGTAAACTTAAATTATATGTACTCTTCAGTTTTATGAAGGAAGATACAAGTATTATACCCTCAACCAGAGCACAAAATGTATGGGGGAAAATATTGGTGTAAAAGATATCATTTTAAGTTTTGAAATTGTAAGAGAAATGTTGGGAAACCTAAAAATTGATAAATCCTCTGGACCAGACAACTTTTATCCTACAGTTGTAAAGGAACTTAAAGATTTTATTTGTGAACTCCTAGCTAATATTTTCTTATAGGTCATTCAGTAGTGGAAGAGTATTAGAAGATTGGAAGTTGGCTAACGTTAGTCCAATATTTAAAGAAGGTGATGAACATTGTCCAGGCAATTATAGGCCAGTTAGTCTTATATCAGTAGTTGGAAAGGTTGTGTGATTAAAGATGCATTACAGAGTCACTTAGAGCAGTTTGATATAGTGTCAAAGAGCCAGCATGGTTTCACTAAGGGATATCCTTGTTTAACAAATTTTCTGACATTCTTTGAGGATGTTACTACAAGAGTTGATGAAGGAAATACTGTGGATTTGGTTTACTTTGATTTTCAGAAAGCACTTGATAAGGTGCCTCACAAAAGACTTGTTACAAAAATTAAATCTGTGGGTTTGGAAGGGAAATGTTATCAAATTGGATAGAAAATTGGCTGGAGAGTATAAAGCGGAGAGTAGTTACAAGTGGAGCTAGATCTGACTGGATCACAGTAACAAGCGGTGTACCTCAGGGCTCTGTGCTGGGTCCTCTGCTGTTTGTGATTTATATTAATGATATTGACTCTGGAACGATTAACAAAGTTTTGAAGTTTGCAGATGACATTCACATTTTTGGGGTACATAACTGTATCAAAGATGCTGCAGACTTACAGAGAGATTTAGATCATTTATGCATTGGGCCAATATGTGACATATTACATAATTGTTACCTATATGAGCAACATGATAGAATCTAAGTACCAATTTGTTATTGTCATAACACAATCTACATAACACAATCTACATAATGGTTACCTATATGAGCAACATAATAGAATCTAGGTAACAATGTGTTACTGTCATAACACAATCTACATAATGGTTACCTATATGAGCAACATAATAGAATCTAAGTAACAATGTGTTACTGTCATAACACAATCTACATAATGGTCACCTATATGAGCAACATAATAGAATCTAAGTAACAATGTGTTACTGTCATAACACAATCTACATAATGGTTACCTATATGAACAACATAATAGAATCTAGGTAACATTTTGTTACTGTCATAACACAATTTACATAATTGTTACCTATATGAACAACATAATAGAATCTAAGTAACAATTTGTTACTGTCATAACACAAATGACAGAAACACATTGTTACTTAGATTCTATTATGTTGCTCATATAGGTAACCATTATGTAGATTGTGTTATGACAGTAACACATTGTTACCTAGATTCTATTATGTTGTTCATATAGGTAACCATTATGTAGATTGTGTTATGACAATAACAAATTGTTACCTAGATTCTATTATGTTGTTCATATAGGTAACCATTATGTAGATTGTGTTATGACAATAACAAATTGGTACTTAGATTCTATCATGTTGCTCATATAGGTAACAATTATGTAAATTGTGTTATGACAGTAACAAATTGTTACTTAGATTCTATTATGTTGTTCATATAGGTAACCATTATGTAGATTGTGTTATGACAATAACAAATTGGTACTTAGATTCTATTATGTTGTTCATATAGGTAACCATTATGTAGATTGTGT